CTGTCATCTTGGTTTGAAAGTAATCTTTCTAATAGATCTCAATATGTAGTTTATAATAACAATTCCTCCAATGTTTCTTCTATTACACATGGCGTACTACAAGGTTCTATCCTAGGTCCTCTACTGTTTTTAATTGACATCAATGATCTAACACATTCTTCTAAAAACAACATTGTTACTATTATTTGTGACAAGTTCACAAGCACAAATCATCACTTTCAACTACACATTGCAGTTTTTTTTTTTTTTAATCGTTTAACCGGAAACCGTTCGGTATTGACTGGCGGTTAAATGGAATTGGAGATATCTGTGATGTTACAACACTAGATCAAACACACATGAACTTGATTAAGGAATAGCACAGGAGCAAAACTTGTTTTAACACTGGAAATTAAGCACTAGAAAAATGGCAACAAACCTTCCAAATTGAGATGTTAAACAAAAATTGTAAGGACTTGAAGATTCAAACTTCCACTGAGGAAATTGGATAAACCATTCAACATCCGTTTATTATCCCCATGGTAACTTCAACTCATACACATGATACCTCATCAATGTCATGTTCATTAAGTCAATGAATTCATATGAAAACTTGTTCCTACCACATGTACACCTGTACCTGTGAAGTTTGTATCATACTGCCCTCTCTCAGTCTCTCTACACACAGCTTGTAATGCAGAAAGTAGACAGCTATATGTACATGTTTGTGGGTTGCTCAATACTGTCACATCAGATATTCACTCTTTTATGCTATAATTTTGTAATGTTATTTACATTATACATTTACATACAATACAGATCATGAGTTCCATTAAGCACCCACCATTGTTTTTTTCTGTACAATTTCACCCTTCAAATCTCCAAGTGTTTCAAAAAGCAAGAATCATTTTCTGTTTGTAAAGATGATTCTTAATCTTTTCCTTTCTATTTTCTGGCCATGACCACTTTGTAACAAATAACCGCTTTCTCTCCTGCTGAACTCCAGAAGCTCATAAGAAATCAATACGCTCATATTCTTGTGTCGATGCTGGTTATTGATTGATCAGAGATCTTCTGTTTTCATTTCTGCATGATTTGCAGCTGTCACATTGCTTTCCATAGAACAAATCGTCATGGCAATAATAGCGCCTCGAGCCGCCTGGCCGAGTCCCTGACCACTATTGGAGTTTGCGTGGATTTAATTTGTACGTCTGAGAGTAAACAATATTCAGTTCGCGGGGAAAATCAATTTTCTATTCCCTCAGGTTTTCATGAGAACATGTTTCATGAACATTTGGAAATATGCGCCGGATAACATGTTGACCAAATCGACAGTACACTTTGGTCTACAGAACTTGGAAGCCCCCCCCCCCCCCCTGCATGGTAAGAGAGACAGAGAGGGGCAGAGAAAGAGGGAGAGAGAGGGGGGCAGAGAGAGGGGAGACAGAGACAGACAGAGACAGAGAGGAGAGGCGGGGGGGGGGGGGGGGGGGAGGGGTGTTCAATGACACATATACCTGGATTCTTAAAACAGAAGAAATAAAACGATCCAATTGAAATTTCCAGAGCATAGCCTACCTCATATACATGCATGCAAACATCACCTGATGTGAAACCAATTTAAAATGAAATGTTTTACTTCCTGTGAATTACACAATATACTTTTATAACAATTTTTTAGTACAAATTTAGTCACTTATAAAACAATGGTCTCCTGATTTCAAGAAAGGTACAATACAGGTATTTAAAGCCAATTCTTAATTAAAGGAGTATAGAGGACGTTGCATACAAAAAACAGAGGATATCTCCCAGTTTTAAGGGATAGTTGAGTTTTGGTATAGAGGGCGCTACACAATATAATTTTTTTTGGTGATTATGAAAAACTGAGTGTCAAATTTGAAGAGCATACAATTTAAATGACAAGATCACCTTTGTTTGATCAAAATCAGTTCAGAGACAGCTGAAATATGCATAAATATAACCTAATATTTGTGGGGCCTCACAAATATTCAATCATTTTAAACCAGCTTTTCGTGTTGGTCATAATACACACAACCAGTCAGCCCTTGTATTGTTATTATTATTAAATTATTAGATTAACAGTCAGTCAGTCAGTCACCATATATTTTTGAAAGTGGGGCTGAATTGGTGTGATCGGATTTATTCTAAATTTCACTTATTTGGGGGAATAAAATTACCTTCATAGCAAATTTAGGTCTTAAAAAGGCACCAGAAATGCCATTTAAATAAGAATAAGAGCAATAACCATGCACTGTTAAGGCATTTGTGGTCTTAAAGAAGAACTTAACTGTCCCTTTAATCCCGCGCTTACTCTACTCAAAATTTTCTGCAAAGGGCAAAGATAAGTAAGCAACAACTATTCAAAATGTAAAATATCTAGTGCCTTTTTCCCCATTTTCTCTGGATACAAAAAGATGTAAAATCTCTTTAAAGATAAACTTGAGTTCTGGTAAAAAAAAAGAAAGAAAATGAATTCTCACAGAATCTAACGAAACTTACACTGCATGTGCAAGATTACAAATAAATGTCATGTGCCAAACAATTTTGGCAGAAAATGTATACTGGCTGAGTAATGAGCATAGAAAGATAGGAAATCAAGGTATTTTTTTTAATCGGGAGGATAAGGATCGTGATCGTAAGGTTGGGAGTTGGGGTGAATTATCGGGAGGGTTGGCATCTCTGAAATATCCCAGCGTTTATCCTTGAAAATATAAAAACAGGAGTTTAATAACATTTAATAAAATGTGATTAACCTGAGGCAGAGTTTGGGCCCTGAGATTTAAAGTACAAGTCCACTCCAAAAATAACTGACTTTCAATAAAGGCAAAAATCACACAAACCAATCAAAAAAAGTTTGAGCAAAATCGGATAGCTAATAAGAAATGTATGAATTTTTAATTAGTAATCATCTGTGAAACCCAAAGTGGCAACACTGTAATGTACCAAATGAGCTCCTCTCCAATTTGCTCTGTACATGAAATTTCATTATCTTAATCATGCATGAGGATATAGAATCTTTTAATATAAGGGTTGTACAAAAACTTATTTGTAATAATCATATTTAGGGTGAAAGGACTTTGTAATGAGGATTAATGTCTCATCGAAGGGCACCAGCGCATAGAATTGGTTTCGAACCCGGGACCTCCCATGTGATTTATAACATAAAATATTAAAAAGATGGTAAATTTTAAGGTAGACCACAACAACTTCAAGGGGGGGGGGGTCCCCAGCTTCCGGGTCTTGCACCATGCTCATGCTCTGTCTCTTGCTTGTTGGGTCATACACTGTAGTTGGAGTGTCTACTGGGAGAAGGGCAAATTATATTGCTCCTTCTTCCAGTGCTGGTCAAGCCTGGCTTTAAACTAAAAGCCATTCAGGCATGGGTGTCGATCCTTACGTGGTGCCTATTGTTCAGGGGGGATGATCTATTCATTCATCCCCCCCCCCCTGAACAATAGATATTGCGTAGGGATTGACACCCATGCATTCAGGCGATTTGTTTACGTAATTTTTCACTTTTTTTCTTTTTCGAGACCATCACATTTGTGGGTCAATCCAAAACTCAAGGATGATTCAGTACCATATACCAAAAAATTAATAATTTTTAGAAATGTTGCGCCAATTCTGCATTTAGTATTCAGGGTCGAACGTTAAGGCCAAACGTTAGGGCCGAACGTTATGACCGTCTGTGGAAATGGTCAACTCAAGCTCAATGGAATTCTGCAGCTTAGGCTTAGCCTTAAATCAAATCCCGAACATTTTTGTATTTCACTGGGACTTATCCTATTTCCTAAGCCATGACTATGCCAGATCTTTATGCATCCTATGAAATAAGGATCAACCACTTTTTTGTGAACAATTGTTATTTCCGATCCCAACGTTGGTGATGCAAAAGAAAGGATTCCGTGATGATGCTCCTTGATGCATTCCACACTTACTTTGCAGAGAGGCTTTCACTTTATGAACAACAAATCCTCGGGAAAATGGACAACCCGAGAATAATTTATCTTTCATAAAGTGAAAGTAGATCTAGTCTAGAGTAGACTGTGATTGTGAACTGAGGTTATTTCATTACGAAGCATCCATTTTTCGCATTGCCAACGCACTGATAGGGAACCAGAGTGCCGAAGAAAAAAAAAATGTCACAAAAATGTGGACGATCCCTATTTTAAGAACGCAATTTGTCGTTTCCAAGGATATCCTCGTTCTTGTGGAGATCCTCATTCTCGGACCAGCACCCCTTCTCTTCTGTTTACGTTTAGACTACAGTGTTTTCAAAGCAACAATGATGTATACTTTATTGGGTGAACTCTTTCATCTACATCTTTGCCTTGCCCTCATATCATTCATACGACCAAAGCACAGGCACTACCACTCACTGACATTATCACTGCAAATGCAATGCAAAATACACGAGAGCCAAGCCAAGTCCCTGCACTACCGGCGAGCTACACATGCACAACACACACTCGGACTGTCACTTGTCATTGACATTAAACATCCATTCATTCACATGCAGAATACACACCATAAACTGGGTGGGAACAATATTTATATCGATACGAAATATGACTTAAGCCACACACCAACAGGGAAAAACGTTTAGGAATAGGTTGGATTCATACCTTGGCCCAAGCCTTTACTCAACCCACTCACAAGTTGAGCTCCTTGGCACCTACAACTTCGAAAAATCACCTTTCATTGATTATTCTCGTCATCTGTAATTTTCGCGATTCTGTCAGCCATGTTGACAGTCCAAGTTCTAATGCATTTTGGGTACGGGGAATTTGGGTTACTTCACTATATTTGTAGGGGTTAACATTTTTTAATCACCTTTTCCAAGGCATTTTAATGAAATTTTGTGTGTATTTTCACTACAAATCTAAATAATTTATGTTTATAATCATACAGTTACTTAAATTTGTGATATTGATGAAAACAACATTTAAAACTACGAATATTAAATTCTTAGTTTCCCCTACTGGCGTTGTGGTTTCATCCAAAACAAACTTTACCAGGGCATGCCGTGGGAAAAACATACACAGTAGCTTTCAGTTCAGTCCCACCTATTCAAATTTGCGCTATACTAATTACAATATCTTTAGGAAGTCATGGAAATGGGGGAGTCTGTGCCTGTTGCGATTCCTAGTCAAAAACAAAAGAAGAAACAACCCTTTACAAAACAAAAACGATGGACTGATGGGGACAATAATCCATGTTTAACTGTAAGTTGTGAATTAGTAGATAAGGATTGATCATTGATTGAATTGATTGAGTCATGACATGACTTTGAAAGTTTGATTGATTTGACTAAATAATGATGGTGATGCTCTCCTAGTCCTAAGTCCTATTCTCTTCTTCTTCTTTCTCCTCTCCTATCTCCTCTTCTTCATCTTCTCTCTCTTCCCCACCCTCGCTTCTTCCTTCTCCTTCTTTTTTCTTCTATCCATTTCAAGGTGAACAATATTTAATTTTGTTTTGTTGCCAACTGCAACTTGTACAATAAATTATTCATTTGCAACTGACTAGTCGAGCTAGATGTGCAAAAAAAGGTGAGCTTAGCATAGCTCATAGCGTGCGTGGCAGTGAAGATATAGCTAAGGGTAAAAGATGACTTTGTTTTCTGTTCTCTTCTTCACATTTTTTCAGGAAGCAAATGCATCATACCAGTGCCTTCATGATTATAATTTTGACAGGGAGCGATGTAAAGGATACTTTGCTAACTACAAAAACTGCAAGAACTTTTGGGTAAGCACTTCATGAAATGGTAGCAGTATACTTGTACGGTCGGTATATCAAAAGTCCTTTGGAAGCACACAGAGACATTGTGATGTGCATTATACAAGAATTGTTATTATTCTATCGGTATAAAATATTTTAATTAATTTGTGTGATCGAGGAAAATCTGTCCATGACCATCATGATTGTCTTTGGCTGAAAATCTCTTTCTATCAACTCAGATTGAGAGATTTATCTAATTTAAAGGTAAAGACCAGTTTTGGAAACCCCCCCCCCCCTCCCCCTCTTACAATAAAATGGAAGCTCTTATTACCAATCATGTGAAAGAATTGACTCATACATGATGATACAAATTTTTCTGGGAAACCACCTACTACTAATACTTGATATATTTGGTAAATTATTATATCTATCCGCACGTTTCGCGTAGTCCCATATACATCCTTCTGTGTACAGTGCTTGTAACTTTACCAAGACTGGGCCAAATTTCTTATCATTTTGATGATTCAAGAACCTTGCAGTACCGTACACACCAAATATACTTTATATGCTAGATGATCAACCTCTTCTGATCGATTCCACAACTTTTCTTTCACAATGCAATTGAATGACCAGAACTGGTCTTTATTAAAAGAATTCCACTTAAACATCAAAAATCACTTGCTACAAGTTTATTTTTCCTTTATCCTTTTCAGGGCAAGATCATGAAGCAGCGAAGGAAAGATGGAATTACTCCAGTGCTTCCCGGTCCAGAAGAGAGGGAGAAAATATTAGGAGGTCTTACATCATGATACACAGTACACACAGAGCAGAAGCCACACAGACAGTATTCCTAAAGATGAATTGATAATATTTGAATTGCTCTTTGCAATTGAAGGCAAGATGAGATATTTTCTTCTGAATTTGAGAAAATTTGCATTGAAACTGTAAATGCAACACAACATGAATACTACATGTGCCTAGGAACAATTTATGGTTTTCTGTACGGATGAAACCCAATGAAAATTGAGGTAAAGCTGTGTGCTTGGATTTTATATGTGGTATGTTGGACGATCGATCAAAGGACGTGGGTTATAGTTTATACACAAGGAGAACTGCAGGTCAGGAATCCTAGATCTTTTCTACCTGTACTCTTGGCGAAGGACACATATTTTTTTGTCTTAAAATCATGAATGGTGCAAATGGTTTGAATGGTTATCAGTATGAAAGAACACTGAAAATCACAATAAGAAAATTACCATATCCCATTTTTCAGATTCACAGCTCAGTTGCAATTTGATCCTTTGCTGAATTGTCTGATCTCCTATTTGCCTAAAGTTTCAAATTGGTCAGAAAACAAATTTGTCTGTTCTCCATATTAAGATGTAATCATGATTTCATTTAATGTGTCAGTCTAATTTGTTGCCTAATGCCCATTTCAGCTGATATCCATTAAGTGTAATCATCATTTGTAACCATCATGTGTATTTGAGCAAATATCCAATACAATTTTACTGGCCACTGAGGGATTTGTCAGAGGACTTTGTATAACATATGAAGACCAAATATGCAGTAGACAAAATAATCTTGTTGCCCAACTAAACATTAGACTGGCTGATAATTACTGGTAGGCTGGAAATTGAACAAACTGATGATTAATCAAATGGATATTAGATGAACTGGGTGTGGACAAAATAATATTTAGCCGCTTTGGTGGTAGACAAAAGAGGTACAGACAGAACATGAAGATTGCTGTTGTTGTTGGTTTTTATGGCATTTTTCCATCATCATTGGATGACTTTTGCCAGGCAATGTGAGAGGGCGTAGTTCTGGTCCTCTCTGGATACTATATGAATAGTGGAGTTGGATACTTTATGAAATGGCATTAGACCAAATGGCAAAACTACTTTGATGAGTCAAGTTGTAGATTTTTTTCTCATTTGATTATAAACAGAGATTGAGGTTCAATACAGTATCGACATCTTCAGATGATAACTGAATGGTAGTCTTGAGTACTGATAATGTAAGAAAATAAATTCTTACATATTTAACAAGAATCCTGCTCTTCACACGAAACTAAAATGTACCCATTGGTTTCAGTAGAAAAGTATGATTTATGGGATAATTCTGAGTAACGGATGGTACAATTTGAGTTACAAGTCATACTGTTACACCCTAAATGTTTGACGACATCCGTTTTCTTTGCAAATAGGTTTTGTGAGCTTCCAAGTCTGTTGTGGTAGATTTGATATAATGGGATATATGTAGTTTCTATGTGCAGGAGGTCATTATTCGCAGACACCTGATTTGGTAAATGTTAAACCTTAATGGATGTAAAATTCTTGTACACGTACAGCTAACTGGATATCCCAGCAAGAAATACCCCCCCCCCCCCCCCCAGACAGACTTTGGGTGGGGGAAATGTAAGATGATGCCTTTTCCTTCCAAGGCGATTTGAGACGGGAGCAGTGATTTATTCATAAGGCATGTGGGCCATGAAAGTGAAGGCCACTCCCTGTGATTGATTACATCTGTTATTGGGTAAAAAACAAATTCCCCAAGCTCATGTGTCTTTAATCATATCAAGGCACGAAATGTTCACAAATAACGAGTCTTCATGAAATTGACATTCATGCACACACAATTCTCTGACTACAGAAGTCCCAACAACATAATATGTGCAAAGTGTGATAGATATATATTGATACAACGGACTGGTTACACAAGACACAAAGTTTCTATTTTACAATGCATAATTTCAAAGATTTTATTAAGAGAATAATTATATTGCTCATTCAATTGCATAGAGTATAAATATTCATGATATATACTATGTATATTAAAAACCTTGTGCTATAAACAAGAAATATCATCCTGAGTGTTTCTTTGGTATTAAGTATACAATTACACACTTCCACATAATACTCGCTCAATTATAGTTCACATAAGTTGCTTCTTAAATTTCTGTATTTTGTTCACAGTATCAGAGGATACATTTTTCAAAACTTATACCTGAGTTGCTATACATGATTTAAAAGCATATTACCAAATGAGAATATCTACTGTATGCTTTGTGTAGAATTTTTTTTTTTTTTTAAAGGAAAATGCTGATTGAAATACAGTCTTGCTCTACTGGAGCTACAATAATGGCGGTACAATGTACATGTACATTATTTGTCATAATGGATCTTTCTTTCTTCATTACATCAAATTTAGTTCAAATTTCATACATTGCATTAGTCTACCCAAACTTCACAACCCGTTTCAAATATTTTTTCTGCTTTTACTCTTCGACTGGTTTTCAACGTTGTGTTCATCTACAAAATGGCAGATAAAAATAGTTTGAACTGAGAAGTAATTACCCTCTGTCTTGAAATGCACTGAACATTTTACCCTGGAACATGCGGACATTCCTTAAAAAACCTCCATCATCTAAGCTCATACAAGCAGACATGTCAGATTATTCCGTTCCAGTTCCTTGGCACTTTAATATTGTCCATTCCACTTACTACTATGCTGTGACTAATAACTTTAAATTCATAATTCATACTAATAATGTCAAATATATAATGCAAACTAATAATTTCAAATTTATAATGCAAACTAATAATTTCAAATTTATAATGCAAACTAATAATTTCAAATTTATAATGCAAACTAATAATTTCAAATTTATAATTCAAACTAATAATTTATAATTTATAATTTATAATTTATAATTCAAACTAATCATTTCAAATTCACAATTCAAACTAATAATTTAAAATTCAAAATTCATATAAAAAAAAGAAACTACACACATATTTTTTCTTTGGTCAATGAGTGGTACATTAGGCCAAATAAAAAAAAAAAATGTTTAGCGTCCTGTTTTTTCGAAAAATAGGAAGGAGGAGGCCCTTTTTTTTCTTTCAAAATGGCCGCTCGGTACATTTTCCTTGACAGTCGGCTATTTTTCAAGATGGCCGCCAACATTTTTTTTTTTTTTTTTTAAATCAGAAATAGATCCATTTTAGCAGTGTTTTTATGTTTTTTTTTCTTTAAAAAAAAAAAATTCAAAAAAAATTTCAAAAAAACCCCCCCAAAAATAGGAGGCGGCCCCCAAAAAGGAAGCGGGCGGGGACGCTAAACATGTATATTTTGTTTAAATGGCCTTATATCTTTGGTAGTGGTTCATGTAATCGCTACTATACTATAAATAATTAAGTAGTTAAGTACACAATTGTCTACTTCTAGTCGAGGCACATTCCAGTGTAAAACTGGCGCATTTCTCAAATACGCGTAAACAGTTTACTCATGATTGATATACTGATACAAGAGGGCTATCTGTGTAGTGATGACTCCAGGGTCCCATTTCACAAAACTTGTCATTAGTGACAAATATTTATTTTTTGTTGTTATAAGCTACTGAAATCCTTGCTTCTGATTGGTAATCAGCAGATTTATCACTGATTTTTGTCATTTGTCATTGAAAAAAGGCTTTGTGAAACGGGTCCAGGTTTCTCTCAAGGTCTCTGAAGCAATATCGCAAACTTCAAATTCAAAACCGGTATATGCTGCTAGTAGATAAAAGGAATCAATGCTTTTCTGTTGGTCGGGTATTCCTTGAATTTGTTCTTGTACCTGTAGTAAAAATACAACAGATTGTCTGTTATTTTGCATTGCATCAAATTCACTGACAAGTTTATCATCTTCTTTTCTTTAGGGGTGTATAGAAGATTTTCCCTCTAAATTTGATATTTTGTTTTGGATATTCAGCCATCAAAAACAGTTTTGACTGCTTCATATTTCACCCCTCCCCAAAAAAATCTTATTCTGCTGTACCTACCTGTAAAACTTTATATTCAAAATAATTATCTGATAATTAGAAGGACATTAATGGACAAGACCAAGATATTTTGTCCCATATACAGTAAACAATTTAATTATTCATATCCCTTGTAAATTTGATGTTTCTTGTGTTTTGTAACTCAAGAAGGAAATGTGGAGTGGTTGAATTAGGGCCTTAGTGGAATACTTTAATATGTCACATTCTCAAGAAACACAAATTCAGAAGAAAAAAAAAATTTCACATACAGGTACCAGTACTTAAAAATTACAAAACTTGGTAAGGGTATGAATAATTGAGTTGTTAACTGTATATTATTCTACCAGCATCCTCAAAACTTTTACTGTACTTGACAGTTTTCTCAAAATTGATTTCTCTTTCTAGAGCTTTAATCAGAATAAAAATACAGCAAATGACACTTGCCATGTACATTTATATTCATTTTTCCTTATTCTTGGAAATGTACAGCGGGACAGCAAATTACAAAATACTTTGGATTCGCCCTAATATCTTAAAGCCCCACTGCAGTACTTATAGCTACTTGCTCCCTCTTTATACCAAACAATGCCTAATCAGTGCCGGTAGGTCCCCCATGTTCCTCTTTTTCTTGTGTTAATTAAATTGAGAGCTGATTTGATGAGATAACCACCTGTCAGTGATCTTGTAGGGAGGTCTAATTCCCCCTGGCCAAACTAGTGCAGAGGGGCTTTAGATCGCAAAGTTTACCCCCCTTCTGTTTCTCAGCCAACAACACACATACATACCATTGATGATTGTCTCTTGACCGAGGTATGAATGTTGAGCAGCCAAAGAGCCACCACACCAGTCCAGCTGCTGACCAGTTAGCCAGAGCCCAGCCGAACCACTCGATCAGCTCCCCCAGGTAGTTTGGGCAGGACACCAGCTCAAAGAGACCTCCACGGGGGATGTAGTACCCTCCACCACCTGTACGATAGACACACCCGTTTCAGATACATCATGGTAAAATAGACAAAGATTTGCTTTCTTGATTCAAAAGGTTGTCTAGCAAAAAGCCTCTTGCATGGACAGTTGAAATTAAACAAATAATCATTTGGAAATAATCAGGAAAGCTAATTTTGAAATGCCTTGTAATTGTTATCTATTTATTTATTGTTTTGTTTTGTTTTGCTCAAAGGAACAAAGAAAGGTGGTCCTAGTAGACAAGGTGGTCTTTATGTACAGGCTTCATTAAGCTACTGACTATTCAAAGGTCCATATTAACAGGTACTCTTTCTATAGAGGTGGTCAGAATAAACTGAAAAATAATGTTGGGTAAATTCTGAAACTTAGAATAAGTGGAGGAGCAACAGATACCCAGGGAATATGTCTGACTTTCTTTACAATTATGCTTTGTTTATGTTCAAAGAATTATCATACCTGTGTGTCCTTTTTTGATTTATTGACTGGAGCCCTAAATATTCCCTCATAAATTAACAAGTAGAAGAAGCGGCATCAAAAGCATATGTTTCTGATTACTAATACAGTATAATTATAGCAGTCCATATAATATGCACTACAATCAAACCTGTCTTAGTGGCCACCTCTCTATAAAGGCCACCTGTCTGTAGGGGCAATGCACTTTGTTTCCTTTGAGAGAGAAATGTGTGTTGTAGAACCTGTCTAGAAAGGCCATCCGTCTACAGTGGCCACTTTTTCTGTTTCCCTTGGGTGGCCTTTATAGACAGGTTTGACTGTATTTCAGAATACGCTCTGTACTTACCCGATGATCTTAGACTCCTTAGTTTCCAGTCTGCCCATCTGTTGATGATGAATCCAATCACATACAGTGCCACACCAATAATAAACCTTGGATCGCTAGAAAAAAAGAGGTGTAGAAAATGCAGTAAAAAAAAACATTTTGAGATTCACAAACCATGCAGACTACCGAACCAAATACAAAAAAACAAAAATGTTCTACATTTCAGCTAAGATTATTATACATTTGTGTTTGTTGTTCAATTTTTTTGTCAATACCACACAAATTTTGTTGACAACAAGTATAACAGTTCTTTTTAGTTCTGAAGAACTATATCAAGATCATAATCATAAATGTCAGTCAATTGAACTGACATATATATATAGAAGAAAAAAATGTAGCCTTGGTCAAGCAAGCAAAGGTGATTATCTTTACCCCCCCCCCCCCCCCCCCCCCCCCCCCCCCCAACAACAAATACAGAATCAGTTACATAACAACATAGTATTTCTCTCACCTATGTTTTATTCCTTTCATCAGTTTGGCTACATTAAATATCTTTCTATTCCATACTCACTAGTAATAGTTGTCACTATATTTTGCTGATCCCGCCCAGTCAGCATTCACAAAACTGAAAATTGAGTTTGGAACTATTCCTGCAACAGTGATCCTGTGGAAGATACACAGAGAGAGCGAGAGAGAGAGAGGAGGGAGAGGGTCAGAGAGAGAGAGAGAGAGAGAGAGAGAGAAAGAAAGAAAATAAGAATATTTATGTTAACTGATTATATTCTGTGTTATTATACATTTAAAGTTGTTTAACATTCAACAATAGGGAGAGAGTCTCTAATCCACAATCGAATACCTAAATAATAATAAATAATTTTAAAAGCTCTGCTTAAAATCTTTGTTAGTACAAATACCTGGTAGAAAATGGAAATGTTTAAAAATTGAATAAATGTATGGACATACCACAGAGGAACTTTAGCCTTGCTGTACTTCATGATACAGGGATGTATGAACCCTCGATGAAAGTAATGAGCCATGAAGAGAGACAGGAAAACCACATTGACGGGATCAGTAATGTCACCATAGAGAAAAAACACCTGAAGAGAAAACAAATACCGGTAGATAAAATAACTACTAGAATGTTCGACACTGTGACATCTGAAAAAAAAGTATAGAGAAATTTAGAATCTAATTCATGCACGAAACTGTAACATTATTTGTGAAATATTCATGCTGTAAAAAAGGGAAACATAATAAAATTCCTTTATCGAACAAAAGGTTTTTTGTCACAACAATAATTTCAAAGAGTGTCACAAATGCTTCTGGTTTTATAGTACCGATAAATTGGATACTGGTAAAATGCTCCATTTCATCAATGAGAACCCTGCCAGAAGCAGTCACAAAATACAAGAATAGTAATCATAATATTCTGAGTTTAAATAGTGCTAAATACAGCGACGATGTCTCCAAGTGCTTTTACAGATATCTAACTATATACCATGATTGTTGGATTCATAATTTCCCCACATATAATGTGTGCACATTCTTCACTCCCTGTGGACCAATCCAGCCAGGCACCAGCTCATCAGACGCTCACAATAATAAGTAAGCTACAATGTCATTCATCACCTGGGTATAGAGTGGCAAATGTGGACTTATGTGCTGGGCTGGGATTCGAACCCCAAACTCTTGAATTGATAGTCAAGTGCATAAACCATGACACCTCCACATATATTCCTAAACTGTCTGTTTTCCCAATAGGTGTTGTGGTCTAGTGGATAAGTCACCCAACTGCAAAACACAAGGTACAGGGTTCAAGTTCCGCCGCAGCACTTATGTCCTTTGGCAAGATGTTAATCTACATTTGCCACTCTCCACCCAGGTGTTAAATGGGTACCTGGTAGAATACGAAAGTTAATGTGGTTGGATGAGCAAGTGTGCGGGTAAGCCTGATTTTGATGACCATGGTAATAATATATCTGTAAAGTGCTTTAGCACATCGTTGTACCGATGTATAGGGCGCTATATAAAAGCGAAATATTATTATTATTATTATTAATATAGAATTGCTCTATTTGCACTTACCAAAGGAAAGAGAATGCAACCTGGAGGTCCATCAGAGAAAAAGTGACCAATCCGCTGAGGGATAAGACAGCCACTCCTTACTTTACTTACTTTACTTTACTTTAAAACACGATGTTGTAGGTCTAAGCCTGTTCATCGATCCAGGATTCTTCCGTGATTACTGCTATTTTGTGGAGGGAGGAGGTTGTGTAATAACATGAGACAATAGACAACACCTAGACCGGCTCATACAGAAGGCTTACTGGTACACTCTTTGACCAGTGACTATCAAGTCTATTCTTAAAAGAGTTTACCGACCCAGCTGCCACAACGTTTTCTGGGAGACCGTTCCACAGTTCCACGACTCTATTGCTAAAAAAGTATTTTCTTATATCTAGCCTTGAATATTTCTTTTCAAGTTTTCTAGAGTGACCTCGAGTTCGATCTTCTGTACTCATCTTAAAGGGCATCTCTTGCACAGTGTACAAGCCATTCACGTACTTATACACATCGATCATGTCCCCCCTTTTACGCCTGTGAACAAGAGTTGGTAGTTTGAGTTTGGTCAAGCGCTCCTGGTATGTTAAATTTCTAAGGCCAGGAATAATCTTTGTTGCACGTCTTTGTACGCTCTCCAACATTCTCTGTTCTCCTAATCTGTATGGGGACCATGCGGCTTGTCCATATTCTAAAATGGGCCTAACGAGGCCTTTAAACAAAAACGGCATAGTATCAGTATTGAGGTACATAAATGTCCTACGGATAACTCCAAGTACTCGATTCGCTTTGAGAACTGTTTGGGAAATGTGATCTTTAAATGATAGTTGTGAATCTACTAGGACACCTAGGTCCTTTTCTACTTTTGTAACAGATAGTGTTACAGAGTCTGTCCCCTTTTTCATACAATAGTCTGTAGAGGCTTCTGCCGGTAACTTCCCAAGCCTTAAAACAGTACACTTATCAGGATGAAAGCAAAGCTGCCATTTCTCAGCCCATTCTTCCATACGTGACAGATCCTCTTGAAGTTGCTTTCTTAAATCTGCAGTATCAGCACGGACATACAACTTTGTGTCGTCCGCAAACATCGAAATATTTGAGTTGACAACTTTTGGAAGGTCATTGACAAATAGCAAAAATAAACATGGACCCAACACACTGCCCTGCGGCACTCCACTCAGGACTTTGCCCCACTTAGACTGCTTGCCTCTGACCACTACTCTTTGCTGCCGTCCACTCAGAAAAGACTCTAACCATGCAAGTACATTCCCACGAACTCCATACGATTCTAATTTGAGAAGCAGTCGGTGGTGAGGCACCGTATCGAACGCCTTCATGAAGTCCAAATATATGGCATCTACTGTGCCTCCATCATCCAAAATCTGTGTCCACTGGTCCAACACTTCTAAAAGATTGGTGATGCAAGACCGACCAACTACAAACCCATGCTGGTGAACTGAAATCAAATCATTCGTCATAAGATGGTCAAGCAATTGCTTACGCACAAGATTCTCCATCATTTTACAAATAATGCTTGTTAGACTAACTGGCCTATAATTTTTACTATCACTTTTGTTACCTTTCTTGAAAATCGGGGTAACATTTGCAGATTTCCAGTCCTGGGGTAACTGTTTACTTTCAAGACTCTTTTGGAACAGCAAAGAAATCGGTAGAGCTAACACATCTGCTAGTTCTTTTAGTAGACGGGGATGTATTTTGTCAGGCCCCGGAGATTTATTAGGCTTAAGTCTACGCAATAATTCAAACACATCTCCTGACGTAATCTGTATGTCGTCTAGTGGAGTGTCAAATTCAACATCTAAAGGGAGAGGAATATCTTGTAAATCTTCCTGGGTGAAAACTGAAGAGAAGAAATCTTGCAAAACCTCAGCCTTCTCCTGATCCGTTTCTGTTTTACTCCCATCAGGTTTGGTTAAATTACAGACACTTTCCCGAGTTGTTATTTTTGAGTTTACATATGACCAGAAGGCTCTTGCATTCTTCTTAACTCCTGAGGCTATATATTTCTCATATGAACTCACCGCCTTCCTACACTGCCACCTTGCTTGGTTGCTGGATCTACTATAACAACGTCTTTGCTGTTCAATTTCTGCACTAGAATACTTTTCCCGATTTTTTTCGCTTTTCATCTCTTGCCACTTTCTGAAATGTCTATGTTTTTCTCTAACCACTTCCAGAGTCTCTCTGTTCATCCAATGTTTTTTCCTCTGACTTACGTTTAGTGTTTTCTTTGGTGTATAACGATTAAAGATGTCTAACAGTGTAGTTTTGAAGAAAGACCATGATTTTTCCATGGACATCTCCCAAAATTCATTATTCCAATCAATTTCCATAATCTTATCATACATTGCATCATAGTCTGCTTTATCATATGTAGCGTATAACCAACCAATCGGACTGACTGCACTTCAATAAATAGTGACAATTTCAAGCATGATGCGATACCGTTCACAAAAGGCGGTTCAACCTGAAATTTAATCAGAATTAAACAATCATAAATAATATGTCAATTTTAAACTGTTTACAAACAATCTTGCATCAAATTAGTTGTATGATTAATGCATGTCTACTGAAGTTACATATTACACTGAATTCCTCTTTATATACATGTCTACAGTTACCAGAATTTATCTACATTCTGTCACTTTATACAACTGCCTATATATAAATGATATTAAAATAACACAACACGGTCTGTACAACAGACTATCCCCATAGCACTACACACATGAACCGTATTATGTAACTGCACGTGTAATGCATCATACAAAGTTACTGTGCGTACAAATCACTTTCATAACAAATTTTATACATCAAATTATCTGAAAACTATGAACTGTATAAACCAACACCCAACTCAAACTGACGGCTAGTTATCAATTATCAACATCATATGTTCAAATTATACTCACAACATTGGGCTTGTCTGGAAATACTAAATATTGATCGCAATCAGAAGGATGACTTTTCCCAAAATTGAGAATCATTTGCAGCTAAATTGTTACGCCCCCACTCGGCAGACCAAAAATTCAACCAAAAAAAACATCGCTTCTGACGTCATACTCCGATCGTCAACTAAAACAAAAAATGTCCTCACAAACAGAGATTAGTATCTTACATTCCGGCCCCTAAATGTGAAGATTTTACTGAACATTTACTTCTCTAATCTCTTCTTATTCTCAACCTGGACTTACAGGTATATATTTATCCAAAATTCCAAAGGAATCCCAAAATTTAAAACATAGCTATCTATACTGAATGCCTTCATACACCAATTAACAAATAAACTAATTTACATTAATTTTCATGAACACCTAAGCAACCAAACAACTTTCTTTGCAAACGAAAAAGAAAAAAATTGTTCATGTCTAGATTTCCTTGTTACAACACCAAAAAGGACTACAATTTCCTTTTCAAATAAACTTTCAACAAAGTTGGTTGCCATACTACCTGTATCAATGTATAACATGCTTCAATAAATTAACTTTATAAATTCTCACATTAAAATATGAAAACCAAAATTTCACTCTAAAAAATCTCTGTTGGCAACTGTTACCACTACAACCACTTCTTTCAATCCCATACAAACTAAAAAAGAAATCTTATTATGTGTCACCCAATAAAAGGAAATATTGATTCTGTAATCAACACTATGTACGATTTCACAGATACTGTTTAAAACTGAATTGAATTCACATACCAATTCCAGTACACATAGAGTCATGTTGTTGTACCCAAATATAACTTCACAAGACATTATCTGCTAGAAAATATAAATTTTCCTAGTCGAAACTTCCAAGTCCCTACATAGACAAATACATCATCTGCATATACCATTTCAATCTTTCTATACACAATCTGCATATATGACATTATCGATTCTGGTATTACATATTCTACCAAATAGCCAACGCCATGTAATTTGGTTGTCATGGAAACAGTAATAAACGACATATCATCAACATGTATAACTGATTTGAATGTATTCATTCTGCTACTTTAAGCTTTCTCCTCTGGAAATAAACCTAATATAGAATACATACAAATGCATTCATCATATGAATATAAAGGAAAAGCACATTTACCATTTCTAATAAATATAAAGTTTGTTTAGAAGGTTGAAAAACAAAAACGTTACTTTCCAATATCATGCTAACATAAATTACACCATGTCAGTCTTGCATTATGGTATAATCCATTTTCTTCAAAAATCTTGTTCTTTGACCTTCTCTGAGTTATTAGAGGATCAGAATAATATGTATTTCCTCTTATGACTAAATATCAACTTTGTCTTGCAACATATTTTCTTGCTTAGAACTTCTTCTGAAACGCTGAACCTTCCTCAAATTTCTTGTAAAAGTCTCTAAAAATTCTCTGAAAGTTGCTCAAATGTTGACACTTAGTCCATGATGCTGATGCACAAAAATTCCTCAATTTCTTGACTGATCAATGTTACTCTAATACGCGATAAGATCGATGTCAGTTCCGCTTTCTGGTTTTAAGAACACAAAACACAAATACCTCTACAATTGGCACGGGACAGCGCTAGGCTTGACCCCTCATCTTAGAAACACAAAAATGTTTCTAAGAATCTGCCTCCAAAATTAAACAGAGCTTAGTAACTGGTCTCCCGCAGTACGCTGGTTCAGGTCTTCACTTCACACTGTCGATCGAAGCCTTTCTCGTCTGGCCATGTCTGAAGGACTCTTCCCAAAGGCCAAACATTGCGGGGTGTGTGCTCGTCGACTGACAGTACCAAATCGTAAACCTGGATGAGGGAGGTATCGACATGTTACGTCACCTGGTTGACAATCTTGCTCTTCCACCTCCTCGGCATAACCTTCTGTGTACTTGTTGTGCAGAGCATCATCTCTACCTAGCTTCCTTCTAAGACTCTGCAACCTTTGTTCTGCTACCCATGGTTTGTCTGTCAAGCTACATGTAGGTCGTTTCTCCTTGAAGGGTATGTGAAACTGGTACTGTTCCATCTCTATGCACTTCCCTTCATTCTGTATTTCAAGAGTCTTTCTGTCATTCACCGACATTCCTTTGTCTGGAATAGCAGCAGCAGGGCCATGCAAGGACCATCCAAGTACAGTATGTACACTCTCTAAGGGCATCAGGGCAAATGGCGCATCTTGCCCTATCAGGAGTCCCACTTCTTGTCCGCAGGCAAATGGTAGATCCAGCCCCTCTAAGTGCTGCCATCCTTCTAAGTCTGGCATACTGGCCATGTCATCACTCAGTAAGTCGGTCTTCCTGTTGGTAGAAACCTTCTGAAGCTTCACTCTTTCTGTCATGAGACCTGTGTCTACCATACGACTCACAACTTGAGTCTGGATCCTTCCATCAGGATCGTCCAAAGTTGATATGGAAAGTATGCGCTCTTCCCCCTGTGCTGACACTTTCCTTACTAGGCCCTCTGTGCAGAAGAAAGTGGTCGAACCAGAGTCCAGTAGAGCGTAGGTCCGAACACATCTATCTCCATCTGCTGCCTGAACATGCACTGGACCTATGGGAAGTACACATCGCATACCGGCCCCTATGGCGATTCCGTAACTTGCTTCTGACCCAGTTAATATGGAGCCATTCTGTTCTGTGGTTTCACTCTGATTAGTGGTGGTATCATACTTCAAGGGCTCTCCATGCTGGGAGAAGTCCTTGTCTGTTACAGTAGTGCTGACCATGTTGGGTTGCAACTCTGAGGGCTGTCTCAGCTGGTAGACACCCTTCTCTAAATCTATAGCCATGCTGGGCTCCATCGTCAAGGCCCCTCTTCGTTGAGAGACATCTTCATCTGCAGCAGCAGTCATGCTCTCTCCACACTGGGAGAAGTCCTTGTCTGTAGTGCTGACCATGTTGGGTTGCAACTCTGAGGGCTGTCTCAGCTGGTAGACACCCTTCTCTGAATCTGTAGCCATGCTGGGCTCTGTCGTCAAGGCCCCTCTTCGTTGAGAGACATCTTCATCTGCAGCAGCAGTCATGCTCTCTCCATGCTGGGAGAAGTCCTTGTCTGTAGTGCTGACCCTGTTAGGTTGCACCTGTGAGGGCTGTCTCAGCTGGTAGACAGCCTTCTCTAAATCTGTAGCCATGCTGGGCTCCGTCGTCAAGGCCCCTCTTCGTTGGGAGACATCTTTATCTACAGCAGCAGTCATGCTCTCTCCACGCTGGGAGAAGTCCTTGTCTGTAGTGCTGACCCTGTTAGGTTGCACCTGTGAGGGCTGTCTCAGCTGGTAGACAGCCTTCTCTAAATCTGTAGCCATGCTGGGCTCCGTCGTCAAGGCCCCTCTTCGTTGGGAGACATCTTTATCTACAGCAGCAGTCATGCTCTCTCCATGCTGGGAGAAAACCTCTTCCTCAGCTTTTGCCATGCTGAGTCTTGTCTGTAGCTCAAGCTTACACCTTCTCTGCTTCAGCTTAAACTCCTCCAGTTCAAGAGCTTGTTGTTCATTGAGAGCTGCTGCCTGGGCTGCCAAGGCCGCTCTCTTCACCATTGCTTTGACTCTAGCTCTGGAGGTACTGCTCGTACTGCTCTTGCCAGTCTGGCTTGCTGAATCCCTGGGCTTGACGGACTCTAGATGGGACATATCGCTCATGTTGACTTAAAGCACTGTTGTTGAACTTGATGTAGCGTATAACCAACCAATCGGACTGACTGCACTTCAATAAATAGTGACAATTTCAAGCATGATGCGATACCGTTCACAAAAGGCGGTTCAACCTGAAATTTAATCAGAATTAAACAATCATAAATAATATGTCAATTTTAAACTGTTTACAAACAATCTTGCATCAAATTAGTTGTATGATTAATGCATGTCTACTGAAGTTACATATTACACTGAATTCCTCTTTATATACATGTCTACAGTTACCAGAATTTATCTACATTCTGTCACTTTATACAACTGCCTATATATAAATGATATTAAAATAACACAACACGGTCTGTACAACAGACTATCCCCATAGCACTACACACATGAACCGTATTATGTAACTGCACGTGTAATGCATCATACAAAGTTACTGTGCGTACAAATCACTTTCATAACAAATTTTATACATCAAATTATCTGAAAACTATGAACTGTATAAACCAACACCCAACTCAAACTGACGGCTAGTTATCAATTATCAACATCATATGTTCAAATTATACTCACAACATTGGGCTTGTCTGGAAATACTAAATATTGATCGCAATCAGAAGGATGACTTTTCCCAAAATTGAGAATCATTTGCAGCTAAATTGTTACGCCCCCACTCGGCAGACCAAAAATTCAACCAAAAAAAACATCGCTTCTGACGTCATACTCCGATCGTCAACTAAAACAAAAAATGTCCTCACAAACAGAGATTAGTATCTTACATCATAAATGTATCTTGTTTCTCCAGTTTTGGCGCCTTGGCCTCTTATTTTCATGTCAAAAATCAATGTATAATGATCACTTCTGCCAAGACTGGCAGAGGTTGTAATATCTGCAATAGCATGTTCATTAGCTGTAAAAACCAAGTCTAAGACATTGGAACATTGGCCACTACGGTGCCGTGTAGGCTGAACTTGGTGCTGTACTAGGAAAGCATCTTTAGTGCTCTCAATAAATTTATGAGCTGGATGCTCTACACCCTTTGTACAAGATTCTAATCCCCAGTCTATGTCTGGAAAATTAAAATCCCCAATTAACAAAACATCCTGAAAGGTACTCTGACCCACTTCTTGGAAAAGTGCACACAACCCATCATTTACACGGTTATCTGCGTTTGGACTTCTATAAAAAAGACCTACAAGGAGTTTACCACCTTCCTGAAAATCAACTGTGGCAAAAACTGCTTCTTTGAAGCTACTAACAGAAAAACTTGTATAGGCCTCTGCTTTGAGGCTCTTACATATATACAAACAAATCCCACGGCCATTTTCGTAGAGATTATGAAAAATATCGAAACTATCTAGCTTCACTTCAGCTACTTCAACATTGTAACGTAAATTCTTTGGCTTAACTTCTGTAATGCCAATTATATGTGGTTTATACAAAGTAATGATTGATTTAAATTCATCTCTTTTATTCAATAATGAATCTACATTTGCATAAATGCACTTGAGTTTATTAAGTTTACAACCTACTGGTTGATTTCTGGGAAGTCTTCGCGGCTCTCCAGGTCTTTTGCTTGTTCTACGGGTGTTTTGTTTGTCTTTCTTCTCACATTTGTTTCCATTCTCTTTGCTTGTGCTGCTTCTATATATGTCCCGATGTTGGTCACCCTTCCCCTCCTTCTCACCCACTGTGCATTCATATCCCCTTGACGGGCTGACTCTCCCTTTTTTTCCTGCAATTCCATGTATAAGTTTTTTTCTTCCTCTCTTTGGATCGGGGTTAAGTCTCTACGAATAACAACTCTCTTTGTGTTAACAAATTGTTTTAGTCGCGGAGCTGATTTTATGATCGAGTCCCTTTCTTTGACTGTTTCGGTGCTAACTCTAAGGGGGCGTGGTTTGCCAGCGGCCGTTTCCCTGCTGTATTTCCCCAAACGTCTAACGTCTATGATCTTAGTGGGTGGAGCATCAATCTGTGTGAGTATTGCCCGAAACAAGTTAGTATCTTCCTCTTTCCTAATCTTATCATCTATGCTATCACTCTCCTGAACGTTGAAAACCACAGCATTTAGTTTTCTTACCTCTCTCTCTTCCATTTCACTCACACAGAGTCCAACATCTTTGTTTGCATTTGTTTGTCGGTCCACTTTCAGCGAGTCCAAATCAGATTTGACTGCAGTGAGTTGTGTCTGGATGGAAACAACCTCAGACCTATCAGCCTTTTGGTCAATTTTGCCTATCAGGAGTTGTATATTGGTTGTAAACATTTCCATAGCCTTGTCTAACTTATTCTCAATGCTGGCAAGTCTATCAATGCCAGTTGGAAGCTGCGCCTGAGCCAAAGGATCTTTTAAACACCTGGGGCACTTCCACTGTATCTCAGGCTTAGATAATAACTTCTTTTCAGTTTTGTTGTATGGTAAACACTTGAAACACATCCATCCACCACATAAACCACACTGTAACATGTCAACCTTTGTGGAGTCCTTGTACACAGAGTTACATGGGCCAATGCATGCTGTTCCATCTGAACTCACTGAAAGTGAAGCATTGCCGTTGGGCTGCAACACCGATATTGTATTGTCAGCCCTACCAGTTTGGCTCTGAGAATCAGTCTGGGAAATTATCAGCAAATCGTCACTGATATTACTTGCAGCCATGATTTTTTTTTTTTAATTACAAAATTTAGATCTAAAATCCTCTTTATATAGACTAGACTAGACACTCTACTTCTTAATTAATTTAATCAATTAAGTACAACCAAGCACAGGAGCTAGTAAATAGCCAACAGTGGATAGTCAACAGACAGACACACACAGTACACTGCATGTGCACTGACACTATCATCCACACACAACAACCTAATTAATACACAGACCAAAGTCAAAAAGATGTCACAAACTCAAACTTCCAGAAGCATGTCTGGGACTATGGGGTCTGGAGAAATCAAGATGGCTGCCAAGGACTTTCAGCTTGATCCAAATGAAAAACTTCTGAATCACTTCAATTGAGCATCAATCCAACTCACAAAAATCCATGAAATTATGCTGGGATATCAAAATAGCTGCTGAAACACACAAATTCCTGTAAAAGCTTGAAAATAAGGTGATATTTTAGCAAATTATCTAGAGCAAGGCCCTAGGGTGTCTTATCTCAATCACAACCTCCTTATAGCTGTCTCATCTTTTCTCTGAAATGAAGAAAAAAATTGTAAACATTGAAGAGAAACTACTAATTGAAAGATTCTTTGAAGATGTGAATAATCAAGGTTAACATGGGAGGAATTGGTGTATAAAATACTTTTCTGTTCACAGGAGCTGTTTTAGGATTTGGCGTTGTATAAGTGCAATTGTTTTAACAGTACAACATTCAAGTATTACATTGTTTTTTTTTTACCAGAGCTATTTTTCAAGCTATTTTACAAGTGCTAAATCACTCCTGTCTAAATTTAGAAATCAAACAGTTTCTCTCCCCCCATGTGACTTGGCAAAATAAAACAAACTTAATTATCATGGAACAGCACATGACCTAGGGCCTATACTTAATACATGCACACAAAAACATTAAATGAATAAAAAGATCTGTAAATTGGTAAATAGATCTTTAGACTGAATACAGCAAACAAATATGAAGGAAAATATTTTATTAATAAAAGGTCAGTTCCTACAATTAATCTTTGCCCCAATTCTATTACCTGTAGTTGTGTTATTGAGTCTTGTTCAGTTGCCGATACATCATCTCCATCAGTAAGTTCGACACGAGTAGCTCCATTTTCGGTGACCTCCTTATAAGAGCTCACCTTGTCCTCGTGTTTACCGTAGGTGGCGGGCTCCCGAAACTGAACCACGAAGGAGATAAGTGTAAAGACTGCACCAAAGATGACGAGGCCATAGTGGACCCAGTAATGGACGTTGTCCACGTCAAACTCCCAAGGGATGGGCTGCAGACGAAAAATTGATATTCACAAATATGACATGACATTCAGTGGTCACAATTTTGTTGTGTACCATACTTAGGCAAGCAATTTATTATTAAATTAGCAAAGTTTTTATTCACTTCAAACATGTCAATGCTGGTCTCTGAGATTTTGGAGTCATGCATGGCAGGTATGATTGGGGAAGCTGGAAGCGGAAGAGAAGAGCATCTTCATGATCTTCAAAGTTCAATCTTATTTCTGAAGAGTGAAGTTCATCTTGCTTAGCCTAGGCTTAGGCTAGTTAGATAATAATCAATTTAAAAAAATTTAACAGAACTGTATGGGCTAAAATAAGTTGAAATGACCAAACCAAGAATGTTATCAATCAGAATTAAATGTTGAAATTTAATATCTGTCATTGTCAAAACTCTCGATCTCATTGACATTGATGATTCTCTCTCTCACTCAGTCTCAGTCTCATTTTCTCAATGCATTCTTATTCCATCTTTTCATTTACCTCAAAAGTAGCCGATGTGTTGCTTGATGAATCCATACTGTTCTCTTATTACAACGAACGAAATGTGGGAATGTATAAAAGTCTTGAACATGAACTTAATGTACAAAGACGAGGTGATTAGCCTTTTCTGTTTACAAGAGTTGTGCAAGAATATATGTTGTTAAACTAGTTTTAATAGAAGGCATTTTATTAATATTTTTCCAATTATTAATGATTGTATGAAACTTTTCGTTGTTTTTATGGATTAGCTGTATTTTTTTGTAATTAGAAACTATTTCAATTGATCCCGTGACATGATATAATCATCTAGAATCCTTGAATAATATTTATTTTAATAATAAATCCTGGCTATAGACTAGGATTTGGAAAGTTTAATCATGGCGACCTCCGAATCACGTTTTGACTTTGAAGCTTCGAGGGGAAAATACTTGGTAAATTGATTTCCAATGACTTACACACTTAATGATAGTTACGAAATATTAATGTGATGATTTTTGGCAATTTGACATGTTTAGTTTTAGAGTAGATTAAGCTCATTTCATCTCCCGCAATTTGATACCGATTTGTGTTGGCCCATCTATTGCGGAATGTGTCGTGTTTTTTCCCCCTTCATGGAATGCGCCTGTCGTACGTAGTCATAGATCTAGGTGATTTAATAATTCTTTGTGAAATGTTATTCAGCATATCTTATTTTAAGAAGTCAGTATCTTCCTTAATGTAAGCTAAGAGAAGAAGAAGAAGACTGAATTGAAATGAAAACTGAAGTGAAGACTGTGATTGAAATTTTGAGTTTGATTTGAGTTTGATTTTGAACTTTTTTGAAGAGGAAAGAAAAAGAGAAGAAGAATGTACATAAACAGAAGTGGTGCTGGTCCGAGAATAAGGATCATCTTCGTAAACGTGGACAGACGCATCCTAAAAATAATGATCGTTCGCATTTTCGCAGACAATTCATATACCGATCCGCGCGTTGGCGATGCGAAAAACGGATTCTGCGACGATGCTCCTTGAATTGATTCATTTCACATTTACTTTGCACAGACACTTTCACGTTATGAACGATAAATTTTTGGGAAGATGGACAACACATAAAAGAAGACGGTGAACTGGGGGTGTTTTATTTGACATGCGGAATCCATTTTTCTCATTGCCAGAGCGCGGATCGGGATCTTTACACAGATCTGCGCTAAAGAATAACAAATCTGTGAAAATGCAGACGATTCTTATTTTTGAAGACACGATTTGCCAGTGTTTACGAGGATATCCTTGTTTATGCGGACGATCCTCATTCCCGGACCAGCCCTCCTACTGACAAAAGGAGAAGGAAAAGGAAAATAAAAGGGATTCTAAAAAGGAAGAGGAGAATGAAGTAGAAGTAACAGGAGAAGGAGAAGAAGAATTTAGAACAGAATAAAATCAGTTCTCTAATGGCCGTCTTATTTTTCATGATTAATGAAGACATGAGATTCTTTTGGCAAATTTTTTTTTATCTAACTTTTCTTTTGATATCATCTCTTCTTTATTTCGCTTTCAGATTAGTTTGGATGAATCTCGCAAGAAACAATCCGTTTCCTGTCTAAAAAAATGTGCAGACTCACTTGAAGGGAGGTTAGTATCATGAATTCAAAATACATCCTTTTTTGGAGCCTAGTTCTTAGTAAGACTGGATAAAGAAATCTTTTGAATGGGCAAGCATCAACTTTTATTTTAATTAAGTTTTATTGGTACATGCTAAATAGCGAGGATATTGGTTTTAGAATTTGTCATTACAGTAGTTATCCCCACCCCCTAGATTTGCATGTAGCCTTGTAGGCTATGTTTGAGGCCAGTCCAAGTTATCATATCATTTGTTGTCCTTCATAATATTATTATGAAGAACAAATATGAATCCCCCCCCCCCCCCCAAAAAAAAGGCCCAAAATGACATTGAAATTTGAAAGTATTATTTTCACTATAATGTGATCTGATTCAAGCTCTGTTAGAGCTGTCAGTGTGATAGAATTATTACGTATAGACTCAAAATGATGATTGTGTAGGTAATGTATCCATGGGACAAAGTACCTTGGACTTGGAGTTGCCTATGAATTTAAGACAAATAGCTTTTTCTAACTAGCCCATACAAGTGATCCTGAGTACAACAAATAGTTTCCTCACCACTATTTTTCATCTTGTATGTTTTTTGTTTTTGCAGTGATGCAGAGAAGAAGACTGCGTTGGATCAAGCATACAGAAACTATGTGAAGAAGCTTGTGGTAAGAACCTATCATTTGCTGTAACCAGGGGCTCGTTCCTAGAAACCAATGACAAGACAGTCATAACTTTATTTAAATGAATGAGGAATAAAAAAAGAGGGAAAGTAGTACCAGGAAATAAGAGATGCAATATACTTCAACATTTGTGTAGATTATACAATAGAAGTACTTTTAAAATATAATTGTGAGTATTTCATTACATGACCAGTGAATCAGTTTTGTTCTTGAGATGGGCTCCCCCCAAATATTTTCATTTGATGGTTTATAAAAATACACCCTTATACTATTCTTTGAAAAAATACGATGTAATGAAATTTGTGTTCAATGTGTTTGGCGTCAGCACAATATAAAAATTACAAAACTTCAATATTTCAAACGTTAAAACATATGTTTAAACCATTCACTTTACATATTTGAAGATAGAATTCAGCTCAGAATTAATATGGGTCTGAAAACTAAAGAATACACTACTGACCATGGCTTGCCTGCCGTGGCAGAATACCCATCCCTTTCGAGGATTTTTTGAGGATTTAAGAATCCTTAAATATAAACATGGCATATTTTCATAAGATTATCAAATACAAAAAACGATAACTCACTGTTTAAGTGAATGTGTAGAAAAATTATAGTTGGACGATGTATTGTCCTTTTTTGCCAGCCATAGTCTACCCAATAAATGACATGTGATGGCGCTGCCCATCGACTAAAAATTTATGACAGAGATATGACGGCGTTAGATGCTTCAAAACTACTTAGTCAGGATGTTGTCGTTGATCTTGGCAAAGAGGGCTTCATGAAATACGTAGCGGACAACTAGCTCACTAACGCTGATTTAGTCATGAAGTTAGACTTATGACGGTTTCTAGGAACGGGCCCCAGGGCCCCATTTCACAAATCTTTTCATCAGTGAAAAATGACACATTTTTTAAAGGATTTTTTAAAAGGATCTAAGACAAAGTTACCGGATCCCTTTAAATCTTGACTTCATGTGGTGTTGTCTGTTTCCTATAAGATTCAGAATTCAAGCTGTTTAAAGAAGCTAATGCAGTCAAACTTGCTTTAGTGACCACCTGTCTACAGAAGCCACATTTGTTGTTTCCCTTGAAAACGGTTTCTCATTGAATCGTGTACTAAAGGAACATGTCTACAAAGACCACCTGTCTACAAAGGCCACTTTTTGTGATTCCAGGTTTGACTGTAGTTTGTTTATCTTGGCTTACCAAGAAATACTTCTCTGTTGAACAGATGTTTTCATGTAAACAAAAAATAACCTAAAGTAAAAACCGGACTTCCTCTCATGTTCCTCATTCATATGCGACTTCAACTGTTGCATATTTGTCTTCTTCATGTAGGTCGGTGGTTCAAGCTGCAGTGACTTCACCTCCCTGGTCCACCTGTCTACCGAGGCCGTAGAGGCGGGTCTCTGCTCCCCTGCGACCCCGTTCCTCCTCCTGACCGACATCTTTGATTCCGTCACCATCAGCGTCTGCAAAGATGTCTTCCAGTTTGTGGAAGATAGGGTGGCCACATGGAAGCAGGTAGGGCCTTGGTTTGGCTTTTCCGATAGCTTCATTACCTATGGGGCATTTTTCATCAAATATATAGTTAGGGTTGTATTAAAATGGGTTTACATGTAAGGTTAAGGTTAGGGTTGGGGTTTGGTACAGTGTTTCCTTTTTTGAATGATTTATGTTAATTTGACTAATGTAACAGGAGAGCCACTTGGAAATTGGTTGATCAGAGATCTAGCAATTTCTGTGGCGCCATTAGCTCAGGGTTTATTTTTATGCGATGCAGGCTTATAATAAGGGTTGCAGTTGGTGGATAGCTTAGGTTCAAGATTAGGGTTAGGTCTGGTCATTTGTCAGACAGTTGACAAGTATGACTGGAGGGCCACCTGGAAAAAGGTCAGGGATCCACCTGCTCTGGGTTTATTATGTGATGTATGTAGGTTAAGGATAAAGTCGTAAATGGTTTTAGGTCAGGGTAAGAATAAGGTACATTGTTCAGGAATTTGACTAGTGTCAGAGGTTCCCAATGAAGTAATTATTGCTGTCATAAAATCTTGCACTTACAGATTTAAAGACAAATCCTTTTCCTGAGGTCCTTCTAACCTATTCAGAGTGATGTTTGTAGTTTGAAGTTTGAAGTTTATTTATTCCATATTAACATAAAAAACAATTTAATTTTTTTTTTTATACAAGCGTAAAGATTTCAAATCAAGTATGATGTACAGAAAATAAAGATATGACAGGCAAGGTAAAACAATGTAAAATGTGGGGAGCCTAAATAAAAAGCATAGCTTGTATGTGAATAGGCTCCCGTACTGAGTAACACAATATAATAGGTCTGAATTTAAAAGGTATTATAGGAGGCGAAAACGGGGTAGTATAGTAAGAGAAACGTACAAGGAATGCCCTTTGTCACAGAGGAAAGTTCTACAGCAGTCCTCCTGTCCTGTGCTTACAGTTTATGAACTTTCAAGAACCATTTGTCAGGTATTTAATATGAATAAATTTGTTTTTATTGATGTAGAGTTCTAAAATATTTTCTTGATTTGTTCTTTTTTCAGAGTGACTTCTATTCTTCAGGAAAGAATTATCTGCTCAGGATGTGCAATGGTAGGTTATGATAGAAATTATGAATTTATGTAAATTGTGACAATAACACAAATGACAGTGAGTCATGCAGTAGATCGGTGTATCAAATATGCAAACTCACTTATTACTTTATCAAGTTATAAATGTGTAAGTACAAAAAATTAAGAAAAACTTCAGTAATTTCTTTCCAATTCATTTCAATTTAAACACATAAACCCTCCCCCCCCCCCAAAAAAAAAAAAAAACAATATGTGTGCTGGTACATCATATATAATAAAAAATGTGAGATATTAAAAAACAGTAAAGGATGAAGAAGAAAGAAAGAAAAAAAAAGCTGTAAGATTGGATGCTTGACAAGATGAAGATTGTGTTTCAACTAATGGGTATGCTATCTTCATTGGCACCAGCAACAGCAGCAAATTAATCAAGGTTCTGATTGTACTATTGTTTGTCATTTTCAGATTTATTGAGGAGGTTATCCAAGTCACAGGACATGGTGTTCTGTGGTCGAATCCAGCTCTTCTTGGCCAGGTTCTTCCCTCTAGATGAAAAATCAGGTAAAGACGTAACTACATGTAGGTGTAAAGAAGGCTTGAAACCCGAATGATGATGATGATGATGATGATGATGGTAATGATGATGATGATGATGATGATGATGGTTATGATGATGATGATGGTGATGAAGATGATGGATAACGATGGTGATAATGATAATGGTGTTGGTGATGATGGGGCGAGGGGTGGGGGTGCTGTTGTTGCCAAATGTAAGTTGATGATGATGCTGCTGATGATGACAATTATTTTGATGATGATAATGATGATGACTCTTTAACTGTGTTTGTTTCTTTTTATACCTCAAACAGGTTTGAATCTAATGAGTAACTTCCATCTAGACAATGTGACCTCATACAACAGAACCAAGCTGGAAGGGCCACTTCGCACAAGGGTCCCACAGGTGAGTCTCCACACTAGTATTACACAGGAACATGCCCCCCCCCCCCCTCCCCAATCCTATGGCCCCACCATCCAGAATTATACCATATTCTAAAAAAATTATCAGGATTGTACCATTTCACAAGCAATGTTTTACATTCCTCTCCTCACTTACTCTCCATTGTCATCTTCACCATACTACTACAGTCAAACCTGCTTGAGTGACCACCTGTGTACAAAACCACCAATTTTTGGTTTCCCTTGAAAAAATGGTCTCTCATTGAAACATGTACTAAAGGAACCTGTCTACAAAGACCACTTTTTGTGTTTAAGAAAATAATTTTAAATTCACCATGTGGGTAGTCCTGAAAAGGACTGTTGGCTTTGAAAGGTAATAGAAAAGAAAAGAAAGTGAGAGAGAGAGGGATATTCTTTCAGTTTCATCCTTTAATAAATGGATAGAGGTAGATAAAATTAAGACATATTCTTTCGTGAGTTGAGTTCTGAAAAGGACTGGTGAACCAGGGGAGTGTTTCACAAAGACTGAGATCAACTTTAAGTTGGACTTAACTATGGCAGGCAATTCATGCCACTGGTTGAAACCCTATGGTTTCGCTTTATGGTGAATCCGAATGACTAGCACAACTCGTCTCGACCAAGCCACAAAACGGCTTGTTATCATATTTCAACAATTCATCATCCAGTTTTAAAAAAATTCATGTTCTATCCATATTCATGTTGTTATAGTTCAGAAATAATAATCGAAATATATTCACCGAAGAGCCGTTCGGGTTGAAATTCGTCATCCTTTTCCGTCCCCTACTGTGATCATCACATGTTATAAAACTATAAAATTCCCATACCACCTTTGGTACAAGCTCGCTGTTTGGCTGTAGATTCACCTGGGGCGTCATTGAGAACACCCATAGATTTGGCCAAAAACCGGTCTGGATTTCAGTACCTCAGCAGTCACTTCGCTGTTACTATAGAAGCTTCTCGATTTTGTGCACGAACTGCAGATTCTCTGTCCGCGTTGAGCTTGCGAAAACTCCCTAATGTCACACTTTTAACAACGCCCATATATTTCTTGTTTCCAGGCCATTGACAAACAGGACTCCATGGACTATGAGGAGGGGGAGATGGGTTCTGCGACCCCCGTCGACTACAAGCTCTATCGTCAGTTCTGGGCCCTTCAGGACTTCTTCAGGGCTCCCCTCCAGTGCTACACCAAGGAGAAGTGGAAGGATTTCTCCAATGTAAGTTGGATTGAAGAATATTGTCATGTGTTGTTTAAAGGGATCCGGTAACTTTGTCTCATATTCTGAAAATCTTGGATTTAGCCCATGCTGCAATTATAATTGTAAACCTGTAGGTCAGTCAGGAACCCCATGACTTTTACAAGCATCGCCTGTCTGATTATTAGATATATATGATTGGAAATCAAAATGTCAAAAAACTGTTTTCCTAAAGGTTTTTATAAGTAGTTTATTGGAGAAAATGAGTACCGGTATTGTAAAAACGGTCACTCAAAGATTTTTTACTTTTTTGAGGCACTTCATGATCATTTTAAAGCGCAATTTGTTTAGGGCCTCAATATTACACCATATATCACAGACACTGAGATATCATGTAGGGCCATGCATTTCAGATTTAAATGTTAAACGATGCCTTTTAATGCTTTACTCCTTCCACATTTCATTTTGAGATGACTATATTGTAGGCATATATTTTCACCAATATGTCTTCAACTGAAAGCCAAAATGGCATTAACTAGTGTCACTTTAACAATAATTAGCTCCCTTCTGCCTGTTTAGATGTTATTCTATTAAATTTTAGAGCTTGTAAATGGATTCTGATATAGACCCCTGTTTAGGGTTTAAAAATGGAAAACTGGTTTTTAATTTGCAACATGAATGGTAACAATAATTGTGTTAATACTGCTATACGAATTTGTTACAATTGTTACTATACAATTCAAAAGTATCTCTGTACTGCAACTGGTAGAGACTATTCGTCTGCCTATTGGTTCTGCAAAACAAACGTGGTATTATTTCATTTCATTTCATTTATTTATTTCACTCTCTTTTAAAAACATCAAAGTATGTACATGTTCGTTCATTATCAACACACATGTAAGATAAAAGGAAGTGGGGAATCATGAAAGCCAAAATTGCTACTTGCGCCCTCCATATAGCAAACAATGCCTAAGCGGTACCTGGTAGTCCCCCTTGGTCCCCTTTTTCTTATGTGGATTGAGAGCTGATTTGACGAGATAACCACCTGTCAGTGACCATGCAGGGAGGTCTAATCTCCCCTGGCCAAACTAGTGCAGACGGGCTTTAAGAGTCATTGATGTATTAATTATAGCTCTCTATGTTATCATGATCAGAATGCCATAGCTGTCCTCGAGGCCTTCCACAGCATGAAACTGGAAGACGTTGCAAGTGGTAAGAAAAAGAAGAAGAGGCGTAGCCACCATCGTCAGCAGCAGAAGCAAGGAGAGGAGGAGGAGGCTGACTCGGGTGATCAGGTGTCCTTCGCAAAGTACCTCACCAGCGAAAAGGTATGGGTCATCTTTCAAAGTCATAGTATAGAGATATCGACTGCTTTGAGAGGCCTGGCTGTTTTATAGGCTCCAGGGTTTGTTACATCCTGCTATCACCCCGAGGCATAATATTAAAGCAGTCTTTATATCTTTTATATGCCGAATTGAAACAAAAATCTACCAAGAATTCTTACCTTATCCTTTTCTTGAGTAAACATTGGTTAAAACATCACAGAAAATCTGAGACATTGTCAGTTAATCTTCCCTGAAAAGAGGACTGATTGTTACAATCATTTGGGAATCGCAGACAAAAAGCACTGTATGGTATCCGCGCTCGCATAAAATAAGTTTTTTCCCGGTACCTGGAATCTTTCAAGAATCTCACTCATGAACTACATGTATTCACTGTTACTTGCATTGTTTGTTTCTTTACGGGAATGGCTAAAAACACAACTCCAATTTTGACCAATCAGATTGCTAGATTTCTAAAGAGAGATATATAATGATAACTATTACCTTTATTAAACCAGTTGTGATGTAGAAAAATTACTGTGTAAATCAGTATATTTTTGCGTTATATATTTTCGCAGACAACTTAGGCAACTTGGTGAGTTGTTATTTTGGTGATAGTTTAAGTTTGTTAATTTTGTTTTATTTATCATTTTGTTTGTTTGCACAATTGGCCAATATAGAACCCCCAAATTACAAAGGGGGCCCTTTGCAAGAAGACCCTAATTTTTTCAGTCTGAAACATTTGTGAAAATTTTCCTTGAATGAGGTTTAAGAGAAAGAGGGCAAGGTGAAGAAACTGTGTTAAACAATGCCTTGATGTACAATCCCTGCTACTGTTTGATCGATGCAGTTGCTCATCTTCCTTTACATTTATCTTTTCTCCTAGTTGTTTGATCTTCAGCTGAGCGACGCGATGTTCAGACGCTACGTCTACGTCCAGTTTCTCATCCTCTTTCAGTATCTCAACCAACAAGTCAAGTTCAAACAGTGAGATTTTTCTTCTTCAAATTAACTAATTCCGAAGACATTTATGAGATTACATGAAATAGCGTAATTATTTTAAAGCCCAACTGCACTTCTTTTAGCTACTTGCGCCCTCTATATAGCAAACAATGCCTAATCGGTAACCATTGGTCCCCCATGATCCCCTTTTTCTTATATTAATTAAGAGCTTATTTGATAAGTTAACCACCTGTCAGTGACCATGCAGAGAGGTATAATCCCTCCTGGCCAAATTAGTGCGGTTAGGCTTTAAGTCTAGTTCAGATGTGACAAAGTAAACCCACTAAATAAAGAACGTCGCAAAAAATACAGCAGTAAAATCAAAACACTTACCTTTAAATATATTGCTAGTGGGAGTTAGGAAGAGTAACTGATCTTGAGAAGGCCCAATAAGCACACCCCTTTACCTTTGTGTTGTAAGGTACAGAAATGTGAGGCACCCTATGCTTATGTCATTTTATTTTGCAGCAGGCGCATTTTTTAAGACAGTTTGAGGCATTTTGGAATGGGACTTAACCAGTGTGATAATAATTATTTGAGGGTGACAAATTGACTGATTTGCAAAAAAAAACATCAGAATATGCCAATAATCTATTTCTCCTTTGTTTTTGTTCATAGTACACATGTAGATCTTAAATTGTTGGAAGTTTTCTGAGGATAATGTTCAGCATTTTTCATTTCATTTGTCTTGAAGTTGTCTTTTGGAAGGTGTGATTTGGGATGGTTACATGTATGTGATGATGATTGCGGTCCCCTGCACTTTTTCAACAGATAATAAAAAATTATTGTTTGTATATGTTGCATTAAACCTTACGTTTATATGTTCTTTGTTATTCAGTTAAAATCAAATTTTTAAAATAATCAAATCAATGTCTCCTTATTTTCAGAGCTCATCATGTGCTCACTGACGAGATGTCCCTGTTCATCAAAGAAACCAAAGACAAGGTCGTCGCTCTCCTCAAAGAAACCCCACCCTATGGAGACCAGTTTACTGCAGGGATTGAGGTAGGAACAAAGAGTAATGGGGGTTGTTTACTAGTGTATGTTTTCAATTTATTTGTCGAAGCAATGAAGCTGCTGGGGGCCCTAGTAAAAAATGATATACATGTATGATAATGGATGTATGTACTGTATATGGGTCCGTCCAGAAAGTTGGGGCAATTTTGTCACATACCAAACTATGTCTCCTATCAACTGCACCAATGTTACTCAAATTGCAGAGTATGAAGAGCGACTATGAATGGCATTCTGTTTTATTTTCAGCACATTTTGAGCAGAGAAGAACACTGGAATGCCTGGAAGAACGAGGGATGTCCAAGCTATGTCAAGGAAAAGTAAGTTTCACTCATATATATATATATATATATATATATATTAAATGTAGAGTACACCTTTCCCTTAAAAAGTTAGGTTCGTAATGTGTGCATTAAACGAAAATTACCTCAAACTAGGAGAAGAAGATTACAAAGATAAACATTTTACATTTTGATCATTAATATCCCAACTCAAATGTTGAGTCTCGTATCAGATTGAAATTAACATACTGTGAAGTTATTTATTTTAAGTGAGATTCATGATATTATCCCTTCGAGTAACCTTTGTAAAACTTTGCAATGATTTTTTAATTAGAACTGTATTGTGTCACAAATAAAAGCCATATGATCAGGTGCATCATTCATGAATTCAAAAGATGATACCATTGTGCATTGCATCTGTCCTTTTTGCCAATCTTTTACTTGCCAGTGTCTTTAGTAATTTATATCCTTCAAATTATGTTAATCTCCTTTTTACAGAGGGAAAACAGAACAAGCCAGACCAAAGTCAAGGTGAGTGCTACAGATAAAGTTTTACTGTATTTGCCGGCGTAAAGGCCGCAGTATTTTTGGAAGAGAAAATATCAAAAAATCTGGGTGCAGCCTTTGCGCAACAATTAAAAATTCAGCTGTCAAAACAGTAAGTCCATTCAGACATATGGAACTAAAATGACTATACAATGGTACAGGACATTTCTAGAATAACTCCACACATCTTACCGAAAATGTTATGTTGCATTGTTGACATGAAGACAATAAAAGAAAATAAACTTCACTTATTTTTCTAACAAAATCTACTGGTAGATCTAGATCTAAGTTTGTGCCATTGCATCGCTAAAAAGTGAAAGAAGGGACAGACCGTTACTTACGGAGCTAGCTGCAGCAAAACGCAACTGCGCAGGTCGAAGACGCAATTTCGTATTACACCGCACATCGTGGTAGGGGTAAATGTAGGATACCAAATATGCCTGCGATAAAGTACTAGCTTAAAAATCGATGAAGATTTGCTAAATTACGATCATTTTTTAGGTAAACTTCCTGTAAATTTATAAAAATATTGATGAATTTTGTATCAGTTTGTAGAAAAAATAGTGTTCCACAAGAAAACTGATTATTTTGTTTGGTTCGTTTTTTTTGGGTTTTTTTTCCCTCTATGAAATGTCAAAGTTAGAGGTGCGGCCTAAGCTGCGCTGCGGCTATATCATCGGCAAATATGGTATTCCTAATCAGCTTAGAAATGAAACGTCAGGCTGGTATATACATGTATATGTAAAGAGGAAGTTGAGCTTTGAGAAGGGTGGACATCATCTGTGAGCTTTGTCGTTGTGTTTATTCCTATGTCAAATGAATATCAAAGGCGCAATGTCACATGGACATTTTTTCTCTCGAAAAGCCCTCTTATTCCAAATATAACTGATGATGCTTTGAAACAAAATTGTTGCTACGTGTCCTGGCCTTTAATATTATGGTCTTTTGCAGGAATGATTATTATAAAATGAAATAAATTAAAATCGAGTTGAGTAGAGTCAAGTCGAGTCAAAGCAAATCAAATCGATTCAGTTCAATTCAATTCAATTAATTTCAACTTAACTCAACTCGATTCAACTCATCTCGATTTAACTCATTCCAATTCAATGTAATTTGACTCGACTCGACTCAGTTCAATTCCATTCAATTTTTTTTAACTCCTTTTTTCCTCAACACAGAGCCAGGAAGAGGACATTGGGGGAAGAGCTGAATCTAGCTGGAGCTGCCAAGAAGATTGATTTGGGTAGTCCTGAGCTGACTAAGTTATGGAACGTTTACCCTAGCAACCTAGAAGCTTGTGCAGCAGAAGACAGGTAACCATGGCGATTTGTTAAAGATAAACTCTCACAGAACCAACAAAACTAACACTGAATGTTCAAGATTACAAATAAATGACATGTGCCAAACAATTTTGGAAAAAAATGTATAGGGGCTGAGTAATGAGCATAGAAAGATAGGAAATCAAGGTAAGTAGGCCTGTCACCGTTTAACGCCAGTCACTATGTGCAAATGAGAGTTGTGGTTTTTATTGAAGAGGATTTCCTGCAAGTTTTTATTTCACTGGTTCAATTAATCTACTGCAGAATAAACAATCCAGAATGAAATATAGCCATGTTCTCTTGACATACGGTGCTCATACCAGAGCTCCAGTTTACCTTTAACAAATAAATTATTCATACCCTTACCAAGTTTTGCAATTTTTTCAGTATGTGAAAAATTTATTTGTCCCTATTTATGTTTCTTGAGAATGTGACATATTAAAAGCGACATCTAAAACTATTTAACAAAGGGCCTAACGTTGTTATATGTATAAGAAATGTATTTAGAGTTGTCCCCGGTATGTTGCAGATCCCAGTTTATGACACTGATTTATATTCGTTAAAAAAAAAAAAAAATGTTAATTGTCATTTACCTCTACTTTGACTGGATTATGTTTTACTTTTTCCCTCTCCAATACAAAGATAATAAGATCCTTGAGAAATCACTTTGAGAATAATGTTGGGACTGTTCCCTTTGTAATCCTAACCAGTCCACCATTTTGATCCTCCATCTGTCTCCTTCATTCTCAGGATATTTCTCCCTCAAGTTGAAGAATTCTTCCAGGATGCCATAGATCAGGCTGACCCTGAGGCTATGATAGAACCAGAATACAAGTAAGTTTGAGCCACACCCTACCCCCCCCCTTCCTTTTACCTTATTGAATGATATCACTTGAGCAAAGCCAAGAAGAAGCTGATGTTCTATGGGTGTGTTTTATTCCAGGTTCAGCTGGACAAGTTTTGGTTGGATTTATTTAATAGCAGGATAATTTGGAATCATTTCTATTTCCACCGTTTTTATTCAGTACGTTTGTTGAGTATATCACCAACATGAGTTGATGCCTGTCTATTTTGATCCCTTTTATCCCAGTCAAATCTAATCTTTCATTCGTGATTCAAATTTGTATTTGAAGACTTTAATTCCAAAAGGAGCTAAATCCATTTTTGTAACTTCAGAGGGAAAAAAATTGTTTACCAAAATTTGTATAGGCATCCTATGGAAAAGAGATATTAGAAGGTGCATGTTTTCATAATTCCTCCCAAAATGTAGGTAAATAATTTTGTTGATATATGGGTACTTAAGTGAACAATGTTCTGATATCAATAACTCAATCTTCATCAAAGGTAGATTTAGCTCCTTTTGGAATTAAACTCTTCATTTCTTGCTCTTCTCCCTACAGAGTGGTAAACAACAGTAACTATGCCTGGCAGGCCATACGTCTCCTAGCCAAACGCAGCCCTCATTTCTTCCAGACGGTGACGGCCACCAACCCTCCTCTCAAGACGGTCCCCGGGTACCTTGAATATATGGTCACCAAGATCGCCAAAGAGTTACCCGTGAGTCTGCTGTATAATCACCTTGACGTCTAGCTAAATCTGACTCTGTTCCATTCCTGTTCCAGGGCCCTCGTCCATAAAACTAGTTGTCAATAAAAAATAAATAACATTATATAGCGTCCCTATGTGCTTCCAAAGAGCTTTGGAAATTATAACCCTTGCTTTAGCTCTGGCAGCCGTTATCAGCGCACAGTGCTTATCAAGGAATAACCAGGTACCCATTTGCCTCACCTAGGTCGAGAGCGGCAAATGTAGATTAATTTCTTGCCAAAGGAGACATACAGCATTGCTTATAATGAATACAGGATATGTGTTTTCATACTAGATTTGATAATTTTATTATTCCCTTTTCTGTTTTGTTATCTAGCAAAATGAGGAGAGTAAACCGGAAGAACTGAAAACAGAGGAAGAGACGACTGAAAATGATGAGCTCTTGAAGGGCCCAGAAGAAGGTATGTGCCAAATATTTTCATATTCAAAGGGATTGGGTATCTGCAGATAAAGTATGATTTAAAGTTTTAGATACATTACAAATATCATTGATATGAATAGAAATAATAATGAGCCCATGATGGATCCCTGCGGAACACCACATTTAAAGGGATTGGGTATCTTTGTCTCAGATTCTGAAACAAAATCCTGGATTTTGCTCATGCTGCAATGATAATTAAAAATCGAACCTAACTTCACCAATATGTAGGTATGGACAAATCCCCTTCTGCTGCTGTCACCGAGGAGCAGTTCACACTTGTGGCCTCCAAGATTGGGGACAGCTGGCAGACGCTGGCGGTCGAGCTCGGCTTCAGTGACGACGAGGTGACCGCCATCCTCTCCGAGACGTCCGACATCAAGGAACAGACCAAGCTGATGCTGCAGCAGTGGCAGGACAAAGAGGGCGCCGAGCCGTCGCGGGAGACGCTCATCGCGGGACTGATGGAGAGCGGGCTGGACGACATCGTGGAGTCGGTGTTCATGGAGAAACAGAAGAAAGTGGAGTTGGTGTTCGAGGAGAAACAGAAGAGAGTAGTTGAGAACGGTGAAGGAATTGTTGCAGAGTCAGAACCAATGGAGATGGACTCGTAGGGACATGTGTGAACGACACATGGTCACTTAAAATTATTTTTTTTAAACTCTTTAATGGCTTGGGTCGACTAAGCAAACACACAGTGGACTGCCACAGTCAAGTTTTGTCACAAATGTAAAGGGTGAAAGAATTGTTGCAGAGTCAGAACCCATGGAGATGGACTCTTAGGGACATGTGTGAACGACACGTGGTCACTTAGAATGATTTTTAAAACTCTTTAAAGGCTTTGGTCGACTAAGCAAACTCACAGTGGACTGCCACAGTCAAGTTTTGTCACAAATGTAATGTACATGCTTTTGCCATCACCTGTACAGAAAGACCAACTGTCTACAAACAACACTCTTTTTGTTGGTCTGCATTGAATAGAGATGTACATTGACACTTGTATTAGAACCTGTACATAAAGACCACCTGCCTACAGAGACCGCTTTTCTTGTCCCCCTCAAGTGGTCTTTCTATACAGGTTACACTGTACTCCATATTACGCAGCACGTAACGAGTTAAGAACTGTATCCTCTTGGGCAGTTGGCCAGGGGGGTGTTTCACAAAACTTGTCATCAGTGACAAATGACAGCTTTTGTTATAAGCTACTGAAATCCTTGCTTCTGATTGGTTATCAGCAGATTTGTCACTGATTTTTGTCACTTGTCATTGAAAAAAGGCTTTGTGAAACAGGTCCCTGGTCATAGTTGAAACTGGATCTGCAGGATGGAGTATATCATTCTTTCAAAAGCATTTGTTTGTTAGACATGGGGAAGTAAAACTTGTGTCCGGGTAAGCCCCGTTTGGGAGTTGGATGACCCGTCCAGCAAGCAATAACCTCTTTAAAAATGTGTAGAGGTGTTGTGGTTGAGTCGTTACGTCGCCGAACTGTCGATCACAAGGTCCCTGGTTCGAGTCACGCCGCGGCACTAATGTCCTTTGGCAAGACATTGATCAACATTTGCCACACTCAACCCAGGTGATGTTGATGGGTACCTGGCAGGAATTAATTCCTTGAAATGCTAGAGTGCCGTATTGGCAGCACAGCTAAAGCCGGGGTAATAATCTCCAAGTTTGGAAGCGCTTAGAGACTTAATTCATGCTATATAATAGCTGAGTATTATTATTATTATTATTATTCGGTATACACTGGTTACCAGTGTATCATCTCATCAAATGCCCACACCAGTGAAACTAGTTGGCATACTGCTCGAAATGATGTTGTTTACAAGTAGATTTGTTTTTCTTTTGTTACAGAGAGAGAGAGAGAGAGAGAGAAGTGTTACCTCCATGTTGATTTTTAAAACTATGACAAAAGCAGCTTTTCTAGGAGTTTTGGATAAAGTATTTTATCAGTTATCTATTTTCACTCAAAATGCGTTTATCAGCTGTACATAGGGGAACTCTACTTGTCTTTTTCACTGCTCCTCTAATTGCTATTCCTTTTTGTTCCTAAAGGGGTTATCTCACTGAGCGACGAACGCTTACTGACGTTGCAAATTTTGGATTTGCCACCTTTTTTGACGAATGTTGGTGAAAATCAAGGTTCGCCTCTGCGACATTTAGTGATGTTTAGCAACAATTAGCAACAAATGTTTGCGAAAGGCAGTTTGCAACTATTAGCGACTGTAATCAAATGTTTGGGACAGTTTTTGAGAAGATTAGCAACTATTTGTGAATGTTTAGGACCTTTTGCTAACTCTTGGTACTCAATAGGTCGATTTTATATAGGAACCATAATTTATGGAAAAACTGTTTGCGACAATGAAAACCGCTTGGGAACTTTCTTGCAACCTTTTTACGAACCTTTTGCAACCTTTTACGAACCCTGACGAAACCCCAATTTCTCATCGTAAAGCATTCGCCGCTCAGTGAGATACACCCTTAAGTCAATGAACTTGTCATAAAAACAGTCATCGTCCTTGAGATGAGAGCAGACATCACCAGAGGATGACCTGTATGTCTAGAGTTAATGGTGTTAAAAGTGCAGCTCAAGTCACAGTCCTTGAACCTCTAATAGCATCGAGCTGGAGCTGGAGAAGATCTATTCACACTCCATACAGTAAATTCTTTTTTTATTTTAGTCATTGCATATAAGTCACCTTTATTTCGGAAGAATACAACAGAAGGTACATTTAAATTACCCAGTTCTTCTGCCAGAAAAAGAGAAAAATTGACTGGCAAGAGGAAGAGTCACAAACACAATACCATACAGGAACATACAGGAACAAATGTTATTTAAAGAACAAATACATTTAATTGACTATACAATAGCTTTTAAAATCACCACTTAAATTTTGAACAGATTGAGTCACAATGTCCAAATGTAGTACATTGCAACCCGTACATTAATGATTTATGTATTCCTCCTAGAGGGTACAGAGTAAATGGCCTGTTCCATAACCTTTGTACTGATGACCCCCCTCTCTGGATATGACCTGAGTTGATAGGACAAACTGGATTGTGAGAGTAATGATAACAGTGTTTATTGGTCTAGTGGATACGTCACCAGACTGTGGATCACATAGTTGCGGTTCAAGTCCCATCGCAGCACTAATGTCCTATGGCGAGAGATTGATCTACATTTGCCACTCTCCACACAGGTGTTAAATAGGTACCTGATTGGATGCGGACATTAATGGAGTTGGATTGGCAAGTGTGCGCTTGTAAAATGGCGCCTGTCTGGAATACTCCCCAGGGAGCAGAGCGTGTGCACTATCATGTGTGGATTAGCAATGGAATCCAGTGACTGGGGTAATAATGATAATTGCAATTTAATGCGATAGGAAACATAGTATTAAGCGCTATAAAAAGGTATAATATTATTATTTACTATAATGCAAATCACATGATGATACATCTATGTGCACTTCCAAATGAATCGAAAAGTAGAGTATTACTCTTGCATTACTGTTAGCTCAGGCAACCATTCGATGCACAGTGTGTGCATTCAAAGAAATAAATCCTGCTAGGTTCTTTTAAAGAAATGTCATACTGTACCTAGTTAGATTATTTGAATATTTTTTGACATCCATCTCTGCATTCAGTACCAATAACAGATTGAGTGACACGAATAGGAAGGGGAGGGGGTACTCCCCCCGCCCCTTCCTCTTTCAAACCCAATCTGGCTTACCTTCAGTACATACAAATGTGCCCCTGAATAAAAGGGTCCTGCCCCCCCCCCCCTACACTTTCCCTTATATATTGTCAATCGAGGCTTGGCTTTGTGATTGTATTATGGTTCACGCCTCATGAAATGCTACCTTGTGGAATTTTCTGTAGAGAGAGTGGGATAAAGTGCCAACCCAACTATTGTGTCAATGCATCTCGGAGTTGTAAATAAATAAATAAACGGCAGTGTGAAAACCATGTGGTCCCTTGGCTTGTCAATATTGTATTTCAAGTTTGACATGAAAAAACAAATCTTGGGCTGACCCTAAGAATGGAATGCATGAGGGTGTTTATAAACATGTCAGTCATAAAATGGACTGGAGCCGTTGAGGTATGGGAGAGAGAGTTTAGAGAGGTCTTTGAGTTTGAGAAGTGTTTTTCTTTTCTGAGTTAAAACGGAGATGAAGAGAGATTAGGAGAAAGTGGAGGACAGTTGAAAGGGAGATAAAGAGAGAAAAATATACACTGGTGTAAAATTTGGAATGTCTGAAAACATTATTACAGTGACTTTCAAAGAAATCGACCTTCCCTGTAAGGTAATTTCAAAAGCCTTGTGCGTCTTCTATTGAAATGTATGAACATGACATTTGGATAACGACATATTACATAATCTGAAAATTATTTCTTTAGGTACTACAAGAGAGTATTCAGCTCCACCCCCCCCCCCCCCCAAGGATGACAAAGCTCCTCAGTATTCAGTCTTTGGGGAGCCGGGGTACACCCCCCCCCCCCCCCCCCTTCCGTTCAGGGAGTAATTTGGCCTTTTGTTATCGATTTCTGGGTATGCAACTCGATTGGGAAAAGTACAGTTTATGTCCTACAATTTTTAATTTAGATGTTTATGCGTTTTTATGCCAATCGCTTGATGTTATTTTCCTCCTCTTTCTAACAAGACCAATTTGAGATACAAAACGCAAGACTGTGTAAGCTTGTAATCGTGTCTAAAAGAAACAATTGATTGCGAAGGTTTCAGGTTTCCCTGCTAAATATAGATTCCAACCCCCTAGACGATTTACCTCGTCATCTATCGTGATTTATTCGATAAAACTCCTACGCTACTAATTCTGTGCATTTTATGAGATGTCTGCTTTCATCATCTAGGGTCTGTAACCCTTAATTGAATTTCTTACCTATTTGATTCCAAATTGTCACACTGGTCCGGCCTAGCTATATATACACTACATATCACTAGCTTGCAGAAAGAGTTCCCCAAAGTTCCCCAAAAGAAGAAGTGTCCCCAAGTTTTTAAAGTGGCGTGAATTAGGTTGACCTAGTAAATTTAAAGTTCGGAGGCATGTATGTGTTGCTACCAGAGAAAATCCCTCCCCTTCTTTCCGTTAACTTAATAGGTTGTCCCGTTTCTGTGCTAAAAGTAGAAAAAAAAATTTTTTAAATAAACCTCACGACTCTTACCGGTTAGTGGTCAGTAGTCCGTCCAGCCACTGAGGCCGGGGGGGGGGGGGCATTTGTGAGTGCTACCGGTCATCCTACGTACCTGTAGATTAAATGCAAGATTTTTTTTTAAAGGCCACGGAGAGAGGGGGGTAGTGGAGAGGGTCGTAGCATTTGTATTATCACTTTTCTTACGTCGCCTTCCCCGTCATTCCGGCCCTTCGTCCTTCAACTCCCCCCCCCCCCCCCCCGCCCCACCCTCTCTCTCTCTCTCTCTCTCTCTCTCTCTCTCTCTCTCTCTCTCTCTCTCACTTCCACTCCCATCCCATCCTCTCTTTCTCCCCCCTCTCTCTCTCTTTCAATTCGACTTTGGGGCACAAGCCCCTGTCTACCTTCATAAAAAATAAAGAACTTCTCCACCCCTTTCATGGTTTTCTTCCCCGCATCCACTACCAGCGAGTGGAATGAACTCTATCTTTTGTCATATTAAGGGGAACCTCCTTACCTTGACCTTGATCTACGTGACCTACTTTTCACCTTCCCGCTCTCCCGAGGGCTCCATCTCCTTTTCAAGTTTCATGAACTTGTTATTTTGTTATGTTTTTGCAGACTTTTCTCTTTTTTCCCGGCGGTTCACAGGCTAGTAGCGTGGAGTACAGGGTGGTCCCCAGTTCGCTGCCATTGCTGTCCGGCGACAGAAGCAGTTTCAGGGAAACACAAACTTTTAGATAATCCTCCCCCTTCTCCTTCTATATTTACATAAACATGTTGTCAATCATAATGTACCCCTTTATAATTTTGCATTTTACATATTTACATAAATGTGTTTGTGTCATAATATCCCCTTTATAAGTTTGAACTTTCGTCAAGCTGCTTTTTAGCCGCTGCAGAATTCATCCTTTCTCTTTCAATTAATTTGTCCTGACTTGTTTTCATCGATAGGCGTCCGTTGCTGGCCAGGGGTTGGGGTTGCAGCCCCCACCCCCTCCTCATGATTATTTTGAAATTGCAGTGTACTAGTATTCGGGCAACCGTCAACTCATCACTTCATAGTAGAGCAGCAAAGTGGACTATCTGTAATTTTTATATCTTATTTAGCATATCTTGATCAGAATCTAAGATATCAAACATATTGCCCGCTCGCTCGCTCGCTCTTCTCGCTTGCCATATTTTGAAATTGAAAGGTTATGTTTACTTTTGAGCAAGAGAGATCAGCCCCCTTGCGAAATTGTGCTCTACATTCTATGTCACATTTAAGCTTTTTCTAACGTAGGTCTAGTCATCGTCCACCTCTTAATATCTTTTCTCCGTTTATTTTCCTCCTACTCTTTAATTTTTAAATTGGCCTTTCCT